AATTTTTCGAAATTGAGATTTATACATCATCTGAAAGCTGAATAAATAAGCTTTCCATTGATGTATGGTTTGTTAGGATTGGACAATATTTGGCCGAGATACAACTATTTGAATATCTGGAATCTGAGGGTGCAAAAAATCAAAATATTGAGAAAATCACCTTTAAATTGTCCAAATGAAGTCTTTAGCAATGCATATTACTAATCAAAAATTAAGTTTTGATATATTTACAGTAGGAAATTTACAAAATATCTTCATGGAACATGATCTTTACTTAATATCCTAATGATTTTTGGCATAAAAGAAAAATCAATAATTTTGACCCATACAATGTATTTTTGGCTATTGCTACAAATATATCCCAACGACTTAAGACTGGTTTTGTGGTCTAGGGTCACGAATAATAATTAGTATCAACTGGCTAATTAAAGAAAATTTAATTCAGTCTACTCACGCTTATGTGGTTTCAAATCAGTGTGACTTTTTTGCATCAGTGAAATCACTTTTGTCCATACAACAGCAGTTCACTGTCACCACGTCTGTTGTCCAGAAAAATTCAACATAAAACGATGGCAGAAATTTAAATTAATTTAGTTGGATTAACTATTCCTTTATTAAACACTATATGAAAATCATAAGTTGACACTGAATATTTGAGAAATGTTTTCAAATCTTTGATGCCATATCTGAAATTAGATATTTTAAAATGTTTTTTTTTTTTTAAACACATCTGTTATCCATAAAAATGTAAACAACATTAAACAAAAACAGAAATGTAATTGTTGAATTAAGTATGCCTTAATTAAACACTATATGAAAATCATAAATTGACACTGAATATTTGTGAAATATTTTTTAAATCTTTCGTGTGATGCCACATTGTATCTGAAATTTAGATATTTTGAAATTTTTTTTTTTTTAAATAATGTCTGTTGTCTAAAAAAAAAATACAACATATAAAATGTAAGCAATATTAAATAATGACAGAAATTTAATTGTTCAATTAACTATTCCTTAAATAAACACTACATGAAAATCATAAATTGACATTGGAAATTGTGATGCCATTTCTGAAATTTGATATTTTGAAATGTATTTTTTTAAATCATGCCTGTTGTCCAGAAAAAAATTCAACATGTAAACAATGGCAGAAATCGTACTTTAAAAAAAAATTATTCCTTAATTAAAAATATATACAAATTATAAATTGACACTGAAATAATTTTTTCAAATCTTTTGTGATCTGTTTTTTAAAATCACGTCTGTTGTCCAAAAAAAGAATTCAATGTAAACAACAAGAGGGGCAGAAAACAACGACAGTAATCAATTTCATTGTTGAGTTAACGATTGCTTAAACACTAATAAATTAATATTTGAAATTAGATATCTGAAATAACTAAAATTAGATATTTTGAAAAGTATTTTTTTTTATCTTAAATTTTGACTTAACTTAATAAGTCCATACTTAACTGGATAAGTCCAGAAAATATCTAGAAAGAAAAACTAGTAATAATAATAATAATAATAATAATAATAATAAAGTATACATGTCAGTTGCCAACAGTTGCAACATTTGTATACATGTAATTACAATATTTATTGGTAAAATACACTTGTTATACATAAGATAGCAAGGTTTTTGAGAACATTAACAACACTAGATATATCCGTCCAAAACCTGTGACCTCTTTGGTCTCTCAGCAATAAGTAATAACAAGTCATCTGCTTGACATCCTCTCAGACAGATCTTCAACAGATCGCTGTCATTCACTGGGATAAAGGACAAGAATACAGCATCTAATTTAGAGAAAATATATAACACTCGAAGAGTGCCTATGAAGTGAAAGAAAATTAGCTGAATTGTAATAATGGAATCAAAAGGTGAATTGATGGTCCTTCCAAGGTTAAGAGGGAATCCTAACATACAACATCACACGGCACTTCAGCACAACCACATATAGTGGAGTTGTGTACTAAAGCAGACTGTAATTACTTTACATTTGGTAGTTTGGTAAATGGACCCACCCTGAGTGCATCTTTTAGCAATAAAAGCCTTCTTTATCAGCCTTGGACAGGCAGAATGACTATTTTCAGAGGAAGTGTGCTTAAAAAGAAAGTGGATAGGGACTGTGCTGGCAAACTAAACACAGCCCAAATAAAGTGTCTGTGTGAATTAATGTTTGGATGAGCAAGAATCCAGCATTTTGATAAACGCACAATGTAACGTTGGGGTTTTGTCTAAATAAACATGCGTAATTTAAATAGATCAGTTTTTAATAGTTTTCATATTAACATTTTTCTCTACTATTTACTGTTTTCACTATGAAAAGTCCACAAGCCACAATGTGAATTTCCAAATCCATGGTTATATAAATAAAGTGTTATTCCCATCACAATAAAACAGATTGAGATAAGTAGATATGTGTCTCATGACTATACCAAATATTAATTAGTGGCAGCTGACACTACACAACAAAATATTTCTAAAAGCTGCACCGAAATACAACTGCGTATAAAATATGGATACAAAAACATGAATAATTCTGAGGGATTTACCTCTTGAATATTCTAAAAAAAAAAAAGGTGCCCAAAGAACTGAACGATTAGCAAAGTGTAACCTCATATTTTTCCTTTGGTATAAAAAGGCCAAACAAGCCATTTCACCAAAAAAAATAATAATAATATTATTGTCTCCTCCATCCTTGGCCTTCATGTATACTCTTGTACTTGATGCTAGAAAAATTATTTGAAATTTGTAGGCTTCACAAGCAATAGCTGCATTTTGTTTACATATAGATGCACACATTTAAATGTATTTTTTTTATGAAAATCTACAATAAAAGTAATAAAAATCTTTTTGAAGTATATTTTACATGCACTCGTATTTCCCTTAGCATGGTGGATAAGCACACAGAGACTGTTCAGTTGATCTTTTGACATTCTTTGGGAACAATGCTGAAGGATTGTTGCTAAGCTTTGTAGAGGCTTTGAACAGTATTGTTGAATAATGGTCTGAAACGACTGATGTCTTAAGTTTGTTTACATCCATTCAGACCGAGATGATTCAGACTGTCCTCGAAAAGAAAAAAATTAAACATCGTTTTTATGGACTGAACAGGCAATGTTTGGGTTTGAGACACAACAGCGACCTAAACATAAAGCAGCATATGGACTTGAATTATTGGCTAAATGATCCTTATCAAGACACAACTTTTCTTCTAACAGACATCGCTGGATATGAGTAACAAAATACTGCAGTTACATCAGAAAATAGCAATGTGTGTTTAATAGGCAGCAAGGTCTGGATGTTTTGTATAGAATATATCAGCGGCTCATGTCTGCTTGCTCTGTTTCAAAAAACATGACATCTAGCATCTCTAACTACTGCTGTGTAACAACTGGACAGTGTCTTTTTTTGATTTGTCAAATCAAAGAAAATAATGTGCAAGAACATGTAACATTCCTCTAGAGGTCTTCATTTTTTCTTTTTTAATAAAAAATATAATATACTAGTTCTGATTACTTCTAAAGCCACAAGCAAATGACTGATTTACTCCGGCTAGTTAAAGTAACAGATATTGGCATGGGCTTTATGCTGAATTCCATCCTGAGTGAAACCAGCTGTAGACAGCTTAACGTAAGGATCTTCTAACTTCAGGTTGATCTGGCACAGTTTCATTTGCATTAATCATCATTACTGCTGTCTGTAATTGTTATCAGAGCCAGAGCATGCAACCCTCATTTAGATAAGACTTTTAATTTTTTTTAAGAAATCAGCATGTGACCAGTGTGCTGGTTCCACCCCGGGCTCTTATGCATTCAATAAGCATTTAAAATTATTAAAAAAAATGGATTGTAATTCAGTCAAATTCTGACTTTTATTACAGTGCTGTTGACACCATTATATAAAAGAAATTAGATTTAATAACAACCATATATTATGGTTTTGACAAATATTATAGATTATTTAAACAGTTGTTTAGGCTTAGATGTTATGGTAATACCACATGACATATTGTAATATTTAAAATGTAGTATGTTAATCCAAACAAAATAAAATTATTTAGTGACTGAAACCAATTAATATCTAAATATTTTAAATTAGACTTTTTTATAAATTTAAAGAAAAATAGAATTTAAAATATTGCAGCCAGTTATATTCAAATGAAGGGCATTAGACGACAGAAGGCAAGTTCACATACTAACTCGTTTTTATTAATACAGAACTGCATGCTACAGAGACTGTACAGCATTAACATTTATTCATTACAAAACATGGTTTTTGGGAACCATTTCAAATAATGGAAAACAAAACGGAAAACAAAAATAAAAAATAAAAAAATAAAAACAAACCAAAAGAAAAATATAAGAGCATAAAAGAGAACAGGAACATCACAGCCGTTAAGGAAACATTCAAACTATTCATCATTAGCATCTTAATAAACCAGAGAAGTAATCGACGGGTTACAGTTGCGTCATGTCAACTACAATGGCACCGAATGAATGATTCTCTTGTAGCTTTTTTACAGCTTCTTGCAACATCAACATGCCTATTTTTTCTATCTACCTATATGTAGTAGTGTACTTAAAAGTGGCAGTTTGTGTTTTTTGTAGTATTTAATAGTTTTTTATGAACCTCCTAATATACATAATTTGGCCCTTGAGGGTTTATACAGTATTACGTCCGTCTTTTAAGTTTAAATTTTATTATTTGACAATCTGCTACCAAACACATTTGTTATAGCAACATTTATACTACATACATAGCAATCTATGTAACGTCACAGCAAATTATGGTTGAAAAAGAAAAGAAAAAACAAACATTGGACAACGAAAGAACCTACAGCGTCAAAAGAGGTGGAGAGGAAATTATCACAAATTTTGGCACGGGAAAAAATCTGTACACGATTCTACAGTCCGGCAGAGATGAGACTGTGCAATAGAAAAGAAGGGCTTGAGACGAAATTCGACTACTGAAGACATGGAACCCACCGTCCCCATATTTCTGTACATTTAAACAAGAACAAGTCACATCACGATTAAAGTTGTTCCTCAGTCGGAGAGGTGTCTCCACAGTCCTCGTGCCCTCTGAGTTTTGGACAGCTGTAAAATGATTGGTTCACAAGCTCGTATTTAATACAAATAATGAAGGAGAACCAATTCTTTGAGAAAAGGGCTCACTGAATCCTCACCTACTTTGTATATCTGTCTTTAAACATGTCAACATAACAATTATGTATTTTTCTGTTGAACAGCTGAAAAAAAGCAAAACAACTGAACAAAAACAAACCCAAAAAAATTTATAAAACAATTTGGCAGATTCACAGCTATACTCTACAACTTAAGTGTATTTAATTATCAATATTTAATCATAATAATTTCATTTTTTTTAGATAATGACAGGTCAAATATTGACCAATGAACTTTGATAAAGAATTAACGAAATTTTCAAAGCCATATCGCACAGAAAAAACAAGAGAATCAGAACACAGAATGAAAAAAGACAAGACGCGTGACAGACGGAGAGACAGACAGAGAAAGCTGGTTTAAAAAACAACGAAGCTAGTCTATCGACTTGGTTACGAGCGAAAGGGGTTGCGTCGTGGCGGAGCTGGGCAGCAGAGAGTGGGAATGACACGGCGATGTAGGCCTGGAGGAGGCGGAGCCTGTGGGTCGGGACGACGACACGTCTGAGGGGTCCAAGGAGCCGTTGTGTGCCGAGCTGGACGTTTTGCCCGCCCCGGAGTTGTCCAACAAAGCTAAGGGTGGAGCCATGGAGAGGTGTTGGTGTTGGGACGACGAGAGCAGGGGGGGCGGTTTCATAGTCAGTGAGAGAGGTTGCATTTGTTCAGTCTGTGGTTTGGACTCTTTCGAGGACGGGGAGGGAGAGACCATGGAGGGGGAGGATGGGGGGGACTCTAGTAAGCTTCCGTCCGAAGAAGGAGGACTGGCACAGCTGCCTTCACCTTGAATGTAGCGAATGCACTTCTTTTTTCTCCTAAAAAACAAAACAAAAAAAAGAGGGGACACATTGAAGTTCTCTGTCTGAACCTTAGAGTGAACCACACAGAGCCGTAACGTCCATTTAAATGCACATATCTTAAATTCGGGACACCCATGCTGATCTCATTAGCAACTTTGGCGGACCCACTTTCAGACTCTGCATGAAAATGGACGCTAGAGCTGGACAAGATTAGGGTCAGACGCGTCTCGCTCTCACACGGTGTCACACGATTACATGCAGAGAGGACAGGACAGTGGGAGGACGAGAGGAAGATGAACAGACGGAATGAGGAAGGAGGATGATGAAAGAGGTGAGGCCTACATCTCTCTTTGTTTTCCTTCGGCGGCGCAACACAACTCCAAACAAAAGAACTCCACCCCGGTTTCGCAAACCGCGAGGGGATCCATCCGGTTTAGCTTGAATTATTACACTCCTCTTTCTCCCTTCTTTTTCCTGTCTTTTTCCTTGCGTTCCTTCAGGGGAAGTTCAGATGGTGGGGTAAAAGGTTAGAGAGGAAGCGCTACTCTCAGCTTGCCCCTAAGACATGTGTGTGAGCGCTCTGCACAGAGGTCGTGGTGCCATGTTTGCATTTCTGCTCGGGTCAGGACCCTCCCTCGTCTGCTGCGCCTACGGCCAGCCATTCCAGCCAGCCACATCTCACCAGCGCCAAGCCAGCACGCCGTGAGGTAGGGGTAGAGAGTGTGAGAGAGAGAGAAACGGAGAGAGAGAGGGAAAACCTCAGTGTACCTTGCCCTACCTGACCTGACCAACCCCCCCTTCCTCCCCAAAAACTCTCTTTATCCTGCCTAAAGGGCGAGCTCAGTGATGCAGCCGAGGCTAACTCCAAAAAGAGAAAAGAAAGAGCAACAAATACAGAGTGCAAAATAAAAGGGAATTAAATCAAAGACAGGGGGAGCTAGAGAGTTGCGGGAGAACCGGGATCAATTAACCGGCAACTTCTTTGTGGTTTCGTCATTAAAATATCAGCCAGGTAAGGATTGTTTCTCAAGTCATACCCCTGCCTGCTCTTATGCGTGTTGGTTTCAGACGAAAGTGCGAAAAAGACAGAGAGACAGTCAGGGAGGAAGATACACACTATGATGAAGAAAAATGACAAAAAGAGGACGGAAATCTTGTCACGGCCACATAAACCCACTTTGTGTACGGTGGGCATGCACGACGCGCGACATGCAGCTGGAGGGATCCGCACAGAACAGACTTATTACAGAGGAGACATGGCACTTCAGGGTCAAAGATAGGTGAACAGAGGCAGAGATGTGTTCGTTTGATCTGCCTGCTACTCTGTGCTTTTGTGAGGAGGTCGGTTGTGAATTTAGGAACGGTTCGGGTCTGTCAAGGTGCTAACTGCCTGTCAAACTGCGGCAAATAAGCTAATATCCATTTTTTAAGAGCCATATTGATTCTAAGTATCTCACTGTGTTCCTTATTGATTTATGGGGCTCCGAGGGAATTTCTCCAGATGCATCTTTCAGGAAACAGAGCTGAGTGAGGTCTTTTAACCTTACAGCTCCCTAAATCAAGACGCAATTACCAGCGTTTCTCTCAGCACAGCCCAAAAAATGCACAGGCTGTTCCTCTGAATAACAAGAGGTGCTAATGAACGGCACTACCCCTCAAAAAATACAACCTCAGCAACTCCAGCTACACACATCTATACAAATAAAACAGTTACTGGCTAGCAAGATTGTTTTTTTTTCTTTCTCCAAGAAATTGCTAAATATTGCGTGGTTTCAACTTAAAAGTACGAACAACAACGCTGGTTATTTTTTCCTCATGAGCGAATCAAATGAAAGAGATTCAACAGTCTACAAATTAAAGATGAGAATTACTGTTGTGCTTTTTCAGACAATATTTAACTCACATAAAACATCTAAAAGAAAATTTAGCATTAAAGCAATTTCCTTTTTAGTTATACAATCATTCAATGAAATTGAAATATAAAATACGAAATATTAGTAGTATTTAAGTAAGTATTTGCTTTTCAGTTCCACCACTGGCAGGTATGGCAAATGTGAATTTTGGACCCTGCATCCAACATCCAATGCTCAGATTCACATAAATTCTAAAGTTGAGAAGCTTTCTGTTGTTCCTGAAGGAGGTCAGACTAGAGGGAGTGGATTTTGGAGAATCAGATGGATTTCTAAACTAGCAAGGATAAATGAAATTGGTGGAATGGGGATACAGTTGAAAACGGTAGTGGAGTATCACAACAGCACACCGTCTGATGTCCACGATGATGGAAGGGTGAAAAGGAAAGAGTGCACAAGCATGACACAGAAAAGGGTATTACTTAGCAGAAACAAATACCTACCATCAACATATTCCCAATTCAAAGACTGCTTGTATTAGAACAGAAAGACAAGAGGTTGGGACTGAATAAAGGGTTATAAGAGAGGAGTAGAGAAGGAAGAAGAAGGGGAGGAAAAAAAAGAGAGAGGGGGATGAGATGGCATCACCCCAACCCTACCCTCCACAAAACAAGTGGCTACATCACACAGTTCTAACAGAAGTGACCAGGGCAGAACAGTACAAAACAGCAGATTAGTTCCTTGGGCAGAAAAAAAACAGTAGTACTAAATTATAATAATACAAAAAACTCAAAAAAAAAAAAAAAAAAGGTTTATGCTTGACTTGAAATTTTAACCACAATGCCTTTGTAATTATTTTTTGGCATTTTCTGCCCGAGGATTTCAATTCGTCTGAAGTGTTTCTACAGTCAGAAAAGGACAGAAACAAGTAAGAAAGAAGTCTTTGTAAAACATATAAACTGTAACAAGGCCTCAGAGATTGAAGTAGGAAAATATAATCCATGGAAGAAGTTTCAAGAGAAGAAAAGTTGATTTTTGTCATCTTAAAATCATCATCATAATTTCGACGTTCTCCCCAGGAGTGGGGCTGGGAATATACCTGCAGGGTTTGCACCATAAACCCAGCTGGTCAAGCCCGAACAAGGCACGACACTTCTTAGGGGTATTTGCATCTGTTATCCATAGAGGAACATAAAACACAACAAAAAAAGAAAAAAAAGCACACGTCATTGGACACAAAAAGGCACGGAGCTAGAGCAAATGATTCAGCTTTGGACTTGGTACCATGCCTCCCCAAAAACTTACCATGACCAGCTCATCTCAACCCCCTGGCCACACCCCTCCCCCTTAACAGAGGGAAATAAACCCCGCCTTTTTTATTTAACCCTGCCTCGTTTCAATTCAAAAAGGAGTTCTACATGAACTCCTTTTTCACACACTCACACAAAAACAACCACACAAACAACCCTTCCATCCCACCTAGCAATGAAAAATAAAACCCATTGCCCAGATTTGCAGAAGCTGATTGGCAGAGGAAGTGGCGTGGAGAGAATGCGAGGCTGAGAGAGCCAGAAAAGTGGGAGGAGGTACCAATGAGAGAGTTCCCCAGCTGTCACCTGCTCTAGCACACCTGCCGGCACACCAGATACACACCTGCATGGGCCACACCAGTTATTCTGCTGGTCGAGCCCGAAGCGTGCGCGACACTTCTTTGGGGCGCTCAGATCTGACGGGACGAAGAAGGGAAGAGGAAGCCAGCGCAGAGGAGAGATGAAATCAGAAAAGAGAGCGGAAAGAGAGATAAATTGAATCCAATGAATCTGACGAGCTCTGTAAAAGTCTTTTTTCCCCAACAGATGAATTTAAATAGTAGCAATCAAATGTGCAGTAATGCTTTTACAGTCATATTTGACCATATTTTGTTAGTAATACAAACAATAAGAAATGAAAAACTGCAAGAAACAAATATGAAAGTAAATGATGACAGAAATCAATACATCAGCACACAGTGCATGCCTTTCATAACCAAGGCTCTTTATGGGTAAATAAATGCTTGTTCGTTAAAAGGTAAGCGTTGCGGGATGCAGCAGATATGGATACAATGTCTGCCGGCCATTATTTGGCTGTTCTAGACTAGAGGAGGTGATAGGGACAGGTTGCTGAGGTAGCAGTAGCAGGGAGGAGCTATAGGAGGGAGGCGGAGCATTAGTTTAAGCCAGGGAAACACTACGAAGCTGCTTCATAAACAGGACTGGTCCACTTTCATCCACCTCAAACAGCCCACATAAGCACCAGGGCAAAGGTCATAGGTAGATGGGTCTTTGAGGAGGGTGAAGGCAGGTTGTAAGTGGAGCAGATCAAGAGGAGACAGGGCAAAGCCTGCAATCATGCTGGGGGCGTGGAGGAGGCGGGGGCAGCTACTGAAGTCAGTTGAGTAGATTAAGGAGGTTTACCCTGATAACAACATCTTTGGTTATTTTGATCATATTTCCTATTCCTATAAACATATTGCAGCTGCATGCTTAGAGTTGACCAAATCAGGGATTTTTTTAATACATAATAACATATGACTTTTAACATAGAAGCATCTTTGGATGAAGGTATGTGTATAATGAAAAATGGAGCAAAGGAAACAACTGAAAAGGAGCAAAATAAAGCAACATATTCTTCAAGAGAATTACTGAGCTTGGCAAATAAAAGATATATAAAGCAAATACGGAGTATTATTCATTAAAGAAAGATCATTATATATTTGATATACTGCACAAGCACAAATAAACAAATACATAAAGAACCAAAATAGGGGAAAAAAGCAAGTTAGTAATTTAAGACTCAAAATGACATTAGCACCTGTAATGTGGGGGGGCAGCTGGTGGGAGGGGAGGAGGTGGTGGGGGTCATGCATATTCAATGTTATTAACGCTCGACATGGGGCAAGGGGAGGGGAGGGGGATAACAAGCAGTCTATCGTGTAAATATTGCATTGGGTAGCATAGCTATATACAAAATGAGGCAGGCACAAAAAAGAGATATGAAAAAAAAAAGGCTGGACTTTCATCTTTGAGATGTCACACTTGTGACAGATGATGGTCTGCTTTAATATGAGAGATAATTGCAGCTCACTTACCAATGCCCTCTCCTGCCTGCTTTTCCCTTTTTCTCTTCTTCTTTTTCCCCTGATAGTTACCCGCCAGAAAAAGAGAAATAGACAGGAACCTTAGTTATTATATTGCAGAAAAGACCAAGACATGAAATGAACAAGAGAGGCCAATGTTTTCACTGATTTATTTATTCATGTAAGAGCCTGAAGGTTTGAAATGCCACTGCAGGACAAAACAGAACTTTCCCTATCGTTCCCTTCGTCCTATTTCTCTCCTTTTGTTTATTCCTTGTTTTCTCACTGCTGCTTAGTTTTCTTTTCATTGTGAAACGGTTGGAAGCTCTTGAGGTTTCTTTGAGCGGCTCGGAAATGGAGCAAAGGAAACAACTGAAAAGGAGCAAAATAAAGCAACATATTCTTCAAGAGAATTACTGAGCTTGGCAAATAAAAGATATATAAAGCAAATACGGAGTATTATTCATTAAAGAAAGATCATTATATATTTGATATACTGCACAAGCACAAATAAACAAATACATAAAGAACCAAAATAGGGGAAAAAAGCAAGTTAGTAATTTAAGACTCAAAATGACATTAGCACCTGTAATCGGAGGGAGTGAAAGGCAAGGGTTTGGAAAATATTCTCTGTGTTCTGGAAAAAAAAGAACAAGATACAGAGGCCTTCAAAAGGTGTCCATGGTGAAGAGGGACCGCAAATACATGACTCTGCATTCTTCCTGGACAATATCTCACAGTAATCAGCATCATAAAGAAGAACGGTCAAGTGAATCAAATCAATGTAATCAGCAAACCTCCTTAATTGAAAGATGTGGGTGAATTTAAAAAACAACCAAACTAAAAAATTTTTTTAATATATATTATTACTATATAAACAGGTATATAAAAAAGCATGCAGCAGGCACAGCCCAAAGTTACAACCACAAAACACAGTGACAAGCATGGGCGGCACATTCGGAAGCTGGCATCTTGTTTTCTCACTGCTGCTTAGTTTTCTTTTCATTGTGAAACGGTTGGAAGCTCTTGAGGTTTCTTTGAGCGGCTCGGTTTACTGGAGGGTAAGAGCAGAGCGAGATAACTTTTATTGCATTTGTCCTCCTCAAAAATGGGCTACGGTTCCGCCGGACGTGTCCGTGACTGCTGATTGCGTTGAGGCCAAGGTTGGGCCTGGACAGAGCGATTATCTTACTCCGGTTGAGGAACTTTGACTAGGCGAGTCAAGAAACGTGGTCAGACTCCAAGGAGAGTTGACAGGCTGGGCGGTGGGGCCGTTTGTCAACTCTGGCGAAACAGTAAACAGTGTGCTCGTTCCCCATTTCTAGCGGCGGAGAGAGATGTCCTCTTTCATCAAAGCTGCGAGGCATTTACGCCCTGTGGTTATTTAATTACTCTGATCTCAGCTCGCCTTTCTCCTTTTAGGTGAACCAGTGGAATACTAATGGAAGCAGAGGAAAATCGCACGGCACACAGGGAAAAACCAGACCTGACTGCACTGAGGAAAAGCTTGGTACAGTGGGTAGAGCTAAAATAAATCTAAAGTCTTCCAGCTTGGCTAAGTCTTGCTGGTCTGTTTTGCTGGTTTTAGAGTGGTTTTGGGAAGCCAAACCAGCTTAAACCAGCAAAGACCAGCCAGCCGTTTTTTAGGTCTGTGTGCTTTAGTTTTCTCCAAAGGCTGTTGGGTAATCGTCACATGGTTTGTAAAATGCACATCTAGATGGCTTTAAACTACTCTGTGGCCCCTGGGGAGGGAAGAAAAGATTGTTACTTGTTGAAAACTTAAAAACTTACATAGTTGTCTCGTGCTGACCAGCCGGGGTACAGCTGCATGTGAAGCTGTCGCTCTTTCCTGGCTAACTCGTAGTATTTGGCCTGCTCCTCTCGAGTCAGAGCATGCCACTGCACATAGAGAAACACACACACAGACATCCGTCAAAACTGCGGCCATCACAGAGGAAGAGACCACTGATATTTTAGGCTCAAACAACACGGAAGTGTTTCCATGAGCGGTCCAACCACCGTGATTAAAATTTCCCCTTCCCCTGGTATTGTACTTTTACTCAATAGCAACATAAAGCAAGTTTACAATTATATAGAAAAAGAAATGTGAATAAGCAGTGGTTTTCCACCACCGACAACACTACAATCTGTGGTCTTAGTAGTTGAGACAGTCTGCTGCCGCTCTGTTTGATGTTTTAGTCTTGTAATGTGTGTGGCGCTCACCCTTCGGCCTAGGATCTGGTTGATAGCTGCGCTCTCTTTCAGTGTGCACTCTGCCACCACTTTGGCTCTCATTTCCTTCATGTAAAGCATGAACGCGTTCAGAGGTTTCTTTATGTGTGGCTGCTTCTTCTTTTCCTCCTCTTTTTTCGCATCCTGATGTTTCCTGCCAATGGGAGGGATCAGATGTTAGCGTATGCGTACCAACTTGTGACTTTATTGGATGAATAGAGAACTGAAAAGTGTAAAGTGAACTCACGAGCTGTTGAGGGAGCCGATGTCACTGTGAGAGGACTCCTGCTTGACGTTGTGCGTGACGATGGCTGGGTGGGGGATCCCTGTGGTGTGCAAACTGTGGTGGGGGGGCACCATGTGAGGAGGGAACCTGGAGGAGAAAAGACTGTGTAAATCGTCAGAGTGGACACGGGTGAAATGATGGATGGACAATCACACATTCATGAGCTAAAGACTTGACACATCACAGTGGCTATAAAGACAAAGCAGCAGTAACCTAATACATCTGTTATGTGGAAGAAAGGAAACGGCAATAAATGACAAATCCAAGATCTAGAACTCACAACATGAAACAAAAAGCATTTTAGTTATAAAATGTGATGCATTTCAAAATCAAACAATATAGATGGAATACATTTTGGGCAGGATATAAATTTACCCATGATGATTTTATTGGATCATAAAAAGTGGGTTGAGATTAAATTATTGGTTAACATTATTAATATCATTTTTCCACACAGCCACATAAGCAGAACAGAAAAGTTGGAAACAACAAAACATTAGAACCCCATATTGGTCTGTTACTTTGAAGAAAAAAAAAGAAGAAAAAAATATATATATATATTATTTATTTATTTTGTACTTTTTTTTCCCCTTCAAAATAACAGACCAATAATTCATTAAAAAATAAGACAAAAAAAAAAACCTTAAGAAAGCTATTAGGTTCTGCTTTTTTATGTATTTAACATCAACATGTTTGGATTTGACTGCATCATAAAAAGTGGGATATAATGTTATTGGTTAATATTATTTCTTCCCACCCACGTTCATTTCAGTGGTGGAGAAAAAACTATATTTTGACAAAAGATAAAATATTATGCACATTTTTTTTTCTTTCAAATAATGTGTTCTGATGACAAACATACCACAAACATTTATGAATAAATTAAATATGGTCAAATTGTTTTAATGGACATTTTTTAATTCAAAATCATATTTTTGATTAGTGAGGTCAATTCTGGACCATTTAGGGTGGTCATTTTCTTCTCATTTATTTGCAATTTGATTATTTTCTTTAAATCAAACTAAAATGCCCCCTGGCTATTTTAAGGACATATCTATAATATCATCCCCCTAGCATTCTATAAAGATCAGTAGGAAAGCAGAATAAATTCCTGAGAGTACAAATGAACATATCTGTGCCTGAGTGTGTATGTGTATGTGTGTGTGTGTAGTGCATCCCATCTGTGCGTGGCTGTACACAAATTTGAGAGAAAGAATGGTGGATGATGAAAAAAAAAAAGAGAAAGAATAATTCTTTTTTTCAAACAGCTCATTATCTGCTTGAGTGTGGTTATATGGCTTGGAGCCAGAATATAATGATGAGCGTAAACTCACAAGGAACAACTAGTTTCTGTTGGAGGTTCTCTCTGGGGACTGTGTTTCCCCCCAATCTCTCTTCTCCTATTCTCTCTTCCCTTCATCCCTGACACATTTGTGTTTGTGCCATGTCATCCGGGCCACCCGTCTGCTTCTACTGAGGGGGGGACCGGCGTTGCAGCTGCAGTGCCATGATCATTAGCCCCCACCTTTTTTCTTTCTCTTTCTGTCCTTGCATACTTGTTAAAATTTCCTCTGTTCCGCCGTCCAATTTTTTCTTCCTTCTCCTCCTGACTGTCCCATCAGCACCACCCCCACCCCCACCCCCACCCGTGCCGCTGTTGCCATAGCGAGGCCCAGGTTATGGTTTAAACATGACGGCCATCCCTTTGAAGCGCAGGGCATCATTCCGCTCATCAGCACGCAGCGGAGCCTGCCACCAGTTTAGCCCTGCTGAGGGAAGAGCGAGACAGAGAGGTGTGCCAAGAAGGGTCCCTGCAGGGCCCAATGTCTCAATCTTCTTCCACACCAGCGGAGTGTCAGTGAGTGCCATTTAATTGCCAATCGGAGCGATGGCCTCGGCGCCTGTTTAATGTATAATGACCCCGCCGGTGCGCTCTGTCTCTCATTCACTTTCTCTTCCTCTGCGGAAAAAGAAGGGATGGGAGCAGAGGTGCGGGTGGAGGAACATATCAAAGGGCAGGAACGGGCAGGGGCCAAGGGGCCTACACTTCCTCCCCCTGTCACCCAGGACAGCCGATACACCTGTACGACTCCAACCCCATTATCAAAACTATGTAGCTAATTTGCCGGATCCGAGTCCATGCCGTTCGCGATCTGAAATTTATTTTTTAGGAGGCTGGAGTGAAAAGCAGATCGCTACATGAAGCCCTGTGTGCTAACTGCATAATAAATGGCAGCAGATAGGGCCATCAGAATCTCTCTGAGCTGAAGACAGGCACTGGAGAGCAACATATGGGCGTCTCTTAATCCCGAGGCCTCCTAGAGTTCTTGTCCACTGACTGTGAAAGAAGACAAAGCAAGACTTCCCTCTCCCTCTCTCTCGCCAGCTTTATTCACAGAAAAACCATAAACACAATTAATGAAGCCTTTTCCTGGTGCTCATTATTTTGCGCAGGAGGCCGATGACAGAGGACGCCGTTGGTTTTGACACAAACATGCTAAAGCACCTTCCCTCCACAGAGACACAAGACCACCACTTATTAATCTATGCTAATTCAATTACAGATTATCAAAATGCATTAGCTCTTCCCCAGCACATCACCAATCCCCCTAGCCCCCATTCAGAAGATTCAATTAGCCTGCACTGGAAATAGGATGATCACAATATAAAGGCCTCATTAGAATAGAATCAGCTGTCACTTAAGTGAAGGTCCAGTGCCGGAGCAGCGGCTGCAGACCCGCACGGGCTCCTGACGGCGGAGCAGGCCTAGGCAGGGTACAGTACAAATGACTTCTCTATGGAGCCGAGACCTCAAAACACACACATGGAGAAAGCTGTTGGTGTCAAATGTGTAAGGCCTTGGTTTCAGAGCCAGCTGTTAATAAAACAGACCTTTAAGAGTCAGGACTGGCTGCAAAGACCCTGGTGTCATAAGCAGAGCAGCTGCCAATGCACTCGGATCATCACTGCAGAGCTAAATATTGTGTTTCAGAGCTGTTATGTTTGGCCTGACCACTTTAAACTGTGTGATGATGATGAAAATATACTAGATGCAAGTGCGAGATTGGGCCTCATTTACTCACGCAAGCAGAATGAATGTTAATTGTTTGTTAGAACATTCTTGTGTGAATTTGCTGCATTCACTAAAATAATTTACTTTATTTTATGATTTACTTATGAAGAATTTTTTTCTGCTCATGTTTCTTGAAGTAATTTGCAGTTCAAGAATGAACTGTTCATAAGTTATTCTTATGCAATTTTTTTTTCCATTTAATGAGTTGTTTTTCGTTAAGATTTTACAAATGATTTTACTGAAATTCGTTCTGCTCATTTCATGAATGAATTGTTTGTAAAACCTATTGTGCATAAATGTGTCAATGTACTTAAGAGTTAACTGTTTGTAAAGCAATTTTTACTAGATTTGTTGCATCAATGAGAACGAATCTAGAAAAAATGTTTTACGAGTGATATACACAAAAATTCATTCTGCTCGTTTGATTAAATATTTTTTCTTTTTCAAGAATACATTTTTCATAAGTATACTTTGTACACAAAAATTTATAATTACGCAAGAATAGTTTGGCGAATAATTTACACAAATTAGTTTCTGCTTTTTTAATGAACGAACTGTTCATCAAATCATTCTCAAGTAAATTTGACATATTTATGCAACAATTTATGCAAGAATGACACAAATTTTACACAATTCACACAGATTTGTTTCCAGTCGTGTTTCATGAATGAGGGCCCAATGTTTGAGCATGTTAAATATCCTGAATTTCCTAATTTTCCTTCTCCAAAGCTTTTCTCCCCTCAAAAATGCTCAAACCCAGGCCAGTGTTTAAGGCGCACAAACCCCTCCCTGTTCCTCCCTCCCGTTCTTGCTTCCCTGCTCACATTTATCCATCAACGTCTGCTGGTCCAAGCTCGCCAGGCCTCCAGAGCTGCTTTTCCAATCACACTGCAATTAAACAGGAGTTTGTCCCTGTCTGGAGACACAGGCTGGGTTTGAGTTGGTCTCCATTTCTCGAAACTATAAACCAGATCTGCCTCTGTGCCTCTCTGGCTAGCCTCAGCACTACCACCATCATCATCATCGTCACATTTATCATCATTGCGAAAAGAGTATCATATGTTTCAGATTAGGGGGGAAAGGCCGAGTAAATGCAGAAGGTGACCACCATATGAAGCTGTTTGCATCTCACTTTTATGTTTAAATGACATAAAAGCAATAAAGCAAACAGAGATTTGTCATCTACAGCAAACACCTCCCACTTCTCACATAACAGATGAGGAACAGTCACAAGGGAGCAATCACTGTGACAGTTAAAACAAACATACGCTCACACACATATCCCACAATCCCCCCACACACACAACCATTATTGCTCTCTTGGGGACATTTGTGTCCAAATTGCCACTTGAACCAGACCCCAAGAGCCCACACAAAGCTCTCGCTCAGAGTCCAATGACGGCCCCCGAAATCTGCAGCATTTTACGAAGAGATTCTTTACTTCTGCATGTGACTGTAGCTAAATTGACAGTCCTCTTGTTCTCTGCCATTCAATCGGGGTAAACGTTCTTTAGGGGTCTCATTATAAAATGATAACAATAATTAATATTTGAATACGTGGCGGATCGCATGGGACCGTCTTTTTGAACACTGAGGCGAGAGCGGTCTCTCCTTAAGGGAGAAGTTTGCAGGGGTTTTGACACGCTCGCTTTTTCAGCGAGTCGGTCGTCCCAAGGCTCAACTCACCTTGACATGGATGCATTGACAGTGAGGGCAGTTGGGTAGGGGTGTCTGAAACCTCCCGTCGTGATTGGGTAAACTGGTTGACCTTGCCTAGGAAAAGAAGAAAGGAAGAGAGGTAAAGGAAGGGATGAAAAAAGAGGGAAAAAGGCACTCTCTATGCAGGCGGCTTTATTCTCATTTGATCAGAACAAAAATCTAGGGGATTGCAGAGCGCAGATCAAAGGGAGGCAAACTCTGAACAATTTGAATGCCACAAATCTGATAGGAATGGATAATTAAATTTCATAACCCTGCGCTTGGTGTCGATGGAGGCCCCTCTCCCTGAGCTGAAACTAGGTATTTTGTTGTGCTAATTAAAGACGAAGCACCGGCCCCTTTAATGGAGCCATCACGCTAATTGAGGTCTACACATCCAAAGACAAACAATAATGAATGTAAATTTATACCAAAATAAAGTGCAGAGAATCAAAGGGCTGTGGCTGCGCTTGGGGCCTCTCTCGGTATTTAGATCGCGGTGAGAAAACATTAAATTAACAGAGCTTAATTTGTAGCCTTCTGTCATATTAACAAGTGTTGACAAGGGTTACCAGGGGAGAGCCCCCGTGTGGAATTGTGGGTAAAATACTGGCAATCACAGTTCATTACTCTAATTGGACAATACAGAGACATGCAAAATAGCATTTGCCACAAAGAGGCAATTTAGAGTTTAGGGGATGAAGAAAGCCATGGGTGCATTGCTGTGGGCCCCAGCGGTGCCTTTCCAGAATGTATAAACTGTACAGAGGTTAAGAGTTAGCTTTTGTGGTATGTGATGGCCAAAGTCTCAAACTGCATCTTAAATACCCAGAGGCCCACAGCAAAGTGGACAGAGGCCTGGTGAATATAAAATACACAATAACAAAATGCAACATATTTGAACAAATGCAGTCTTATGAATGTCATAATATATAAAGTGGTGCCCAAAAGTCGGATTCCTCAAAAAAAAAAAATCTGTGATTCATAATCAAATTGAACCCTAGAAATATAAAAGCTGTAAAATAAAATAAACACTGATAAAATTGTAATATTTTATTTTAATCAAATATTTTGTTCAAAATTTAAATGTTCTGGTATATATTAAAATATATATTAAATAAAAAAGAATTATATTCAAAATTAATTAATTAAAAGCATTTTTAAGATCTCAGACTGGACCCCACTGTACATCATGTTATAACACTACAAAAAAATAAGCACTAAAGTTTCAAAGGATTAATAATGATCACAAAGATGAAAGAAGAGGAATAAAATTGGGCTGCTTACTGTGGTACTAACCATCCTAGCGGATGGGGAATCTGGCCTACAGTGCCAGGTGACAGAGGGTAGTAGGGGGATATATCTGAAGGATGTGGAGGCCTTGGGATTCCTGCAAGAGACATAAAAAATGCAAAGAAAAGAATGAAGAGAGAGAGAGAGAGAGAGATGTGTGTGTGTGTGTGAACGGTGTGCAAATGTTTCTACTCTTGTCCTGACACAGAAATTTCCCGATGAAGTTTAAGTGTTAAATTTATCCTTTGTGAGATACACAACTGAACAAAGTCGACTTAAGAGGGAGGTGGGAGAGGGAGGAGGTTGAGCTCACATGCACAGCTCTAAATCACACGTTCTGATCAAAGCTTGAGGAGGCAGCCACGATGTTGTATGGCACACGGGAGAGAGGAGAAAAAATACAGAGCCCTGTCACATTTGTCTATCGAATCAGAGGATTAACAATGGGCGATAATTGAGGTTCACAAGTCAACAATGCAAACACTGCGGCACGTGTTAAGAGAGACTGACACATTTGCGGTGGATATCTGTTCAAGTGTGGAAACAGTCCCAATATTGGTTTTAGAGTTTAATGACCAATTAACTACATTATTAACATTACATGTGGTGGGGAGATGGTTTACAATAGCATAAGTTAGAATAGAATATCTTACAACTTTTCACAAAAGCTTTTACAAACGATGTGAATGACAAAATAAACATCTAGCTAACAAACTAGCTGACTTTGGACTGACTCAATGTACTTCCACTTAGACTACTTGATACTATTTTGCCTCAAAATCTACTAAATCTGGTTCAGTAAAAATAAAAACTCAACAAAATTAGTAATTCTAAAGGTAAACGACTAAAACGAGTGTAAAAATTCTGCTTGATACTGCTGGCTAATGCTAGCTGCGCAGGAGGAGGAAAACAATGCCTCCACAGCACATTGGCACTGCATACAGCGGTCTGAATACATTTGTTAATTAATTAAACTCTAAACTCAATTAAGCGAGCCATTAAGCAGCACATTAAACAGTCTCTGAGTCCTTAAAGAGGCCCTTAGTGATAAGGTCTGTTATGAGAGCAGAAAAAGACCTCTTAAAGTCAGCATGCAGGTTGTTGACAGCTTTGAAGAGCAGCTGTTCGACTGTATAGTGTTGCAGAAGAACAAAATGCCTCTGTGCAATAATCTGATTCTGAAACATACCACCAAATGACATTATATCACAGCTGAACAGAAATCTTTTTGTTTTGAGATGAGAATCCTGACAGATAAAACATAAGCCTTCAAATCGAGTTTCCCGGTAAACCTCCTGCTCATACAGTTTTCATCCAGGTTGGGAAATCTAGATTCCACAATTGTCCGATTTGTATGTCATCAAAACGGGGCAAAAACTGAGATTTTGTTTCTCAGAATCAGAAAAAAAATTGCTTCGGGATCCCGCAGTTAAGTAACAGAGGTCCCCGGCTACATTTCCCAGAAGTCAAGTGGCTCCACAAGCTTAACCGACCCAGGTCAACAGCTCCATCTCAACATGCACACAAAAGGAGGGGTGCAATCTTGGCCCTGAGCCAAGACGACTCTGAAATGCTCTGATGCATCTTACCAGGTAGCTGTGAATGCAGTAGTACAGACTGGCGAGATCATACAGAGTAACCGTGACAGCGCCTGAATAGGTTAGGCTAGTTAACAGGCCTGAAGGTTAGCCTTGGGTTTCGTCCTGCCTGTTTTGAAATTCATGAATATAAAGGAAGACGTGCATGCATATGTACCTGTTTTGGGGTCCACGTCTGCCTGTAGATGTGGAGGGGGGTTCCCAGGCGTGAAGTGCTCATTGCTGTAGGTGATCAGAGGTGTGAGCGGGTGCACATGGTGAGGGTGCTGTACCACGGGGACCTTATTAGACTGGCAAAAAACAGAAAAAGAGAGGGAAGGGAGTGGGAAGAAGAAGAAGCTGTTAATACATGTTTGGGTTGAGGCAGAAACACACCGGCGCCTCGATTTCAACTATGCATCCATCACAAACCACAAGCCCATTCTCAGAACAGTGTGATTTGTAATTAAAAACACTTTCAGAGGTGCACATTATTGATTCAAACAGCCACTGGATACATAAAAGCTTGATTGCATTACGTGTCTCTGACCCAAAAAGCATCATGTTTACAATCACAGAAACCACCTAATAAACCAAATGACAGTCATTCTAAGCACACTCTTGCTCGCCCTCCTTTTTCTCTGGGTTACCCACATCTCGCGCTCCCACCCCTTCCTCTTCCTTCAGGGTCTGGTTTTGGAAAGGGTTTGCATTGTAAAAGATAGGAGAGGAGGGGTGGAGGGGAAGAGAGAAAATCCATTTCTGCATTTTGGTCAAATTGGTTTTAGCTATGTAATCTGCTCTTTGTGTTCTTAAGTGGCACAAGCCCCATTTTCAATTACCCAAGATTACAGCCGAGCAGAGGGGTACTGAGGCATAGCCTGGCATTAGTGTATTCCCAGTACACGCGACCTAACCAGATTACTGCCGTGCCATAGATTTGACGGGCCACACGTGGACTGGAATTTGCTTCCGTAGACGCTGCATAAATTGGCGCTAACCGAGCCGACTGACAGGAAAACATCTCACACCCTGAGTTGTTCACATACATGCGGGTTTTGAGGCGCCCACGTGTCTGATTGACAGCTGTGCATGTCCCGCAGCATATTCGAGGGGATGGAAAAGGGCACATAGGGGCCACTGTCTTTATTTAAAACATGCCAAATTAAATCCAGCACTTGAGATGTTGTAAAAAAAGCAATGGTGTTGGATGTCAGGACATGATTTATAAAAGCAGAGGTGAGCCATCCTTTTGTCAGGACTAAAATATCTAAGCTCTGAGAATAGGAAGGACACCAGGGCCCAGGCCTGAGAGGTTGAAGTATCCATCCAGGGCCTCTAAACGTGGAGAAAGAGGCACAGAGAGAGACCGCTTTCAGCACTGGAGCGTTGTTCCGCTCTGCCATACTCCCAATGAAAGATTAATGAACTGAACAGAGCTGCTTGGGGAAAGAAAAGGGGCTCTGGGGATGTTTTTGGGGCCCCTGAGAGCAGAAAACAGCGTGGAGACAGAAAGAGAAATGCGAAAAGGAAAGCGCGAGGCCACAGAGAAAAACAACTCGAGAGACAAGATATAAAAATACATTTTAAAAAGAAAGACCTCTCATCAGAAAAACAGACGGGATGATGACAGCTGCCAAACAAGGCTGACGAGTTTGCCATTAAAGGAATGGTGCTGCACACCCCTCCACCACAAGCTACCCCATAACCTCCCCCTCAGTAATGATGTGAAAGAATGTTGTCAATTCTCCCTGCGCTGAAAGGCTTTAGTAGCCATTTAAATGAGTTCTTTTGTACAAGGCCTCTCCATTGAGGGACAGCTCCAAATGGCTGTCCACTGCGGCCACATTCACCCAGAGACAAGCCAAATGATTTACATCACAGTCACTGCGTCTAAGAGAACCCCTTTCAAATGCCACATAGCCACACGAATAATAGCCGGGCATCCCGTTTAACTGGCTTCTAGGGAGCGCAGCACGCTATTGCAGTTCGCTACAGTAGCGTTTCTGCCCGCTTCTCTACGTGATCGGATCAGTAAGACCCTAAGAAGAAAAAAGGATGTAGATTGGAATAGCTAGAAATGGAATTTCTTTAACTTTTATTCTTCACATTGGGTAGTACTGCTAGAAAGACTACTTAAAACATGGACCTGCGTTTAGGCCTCATTTTAAAACACGCAAGCACCTTTTTTTCATGATGCCTTCCGTAAAAGACACACAGCGGGACAAAAATAACATGGCGCAATGGATAATCACCATACAAAAACACATTCTTTAAACAATTTCCCTTCTGAGTGCTATTCAAGTCCATTAAGTCTTCAGTCTTAAGAAAAGCTTCACAATAAATCTGGCTCTATTGACCCCGTTGCTATTGTACGATGGCTTTACCATGTTCTTCCAGACATAGCTAATTGTCTCTAGCATCTCAGGGGAGTGAAGAAGACCACCTACGTATGCGCCTGTGCATACCCGCGGACAACCACATACTGTCGGGCGATAACAATCGCAGAATAAGCGCTCTTTAAAACCCTTCTTCTAAACAACTCATTGAGTTTAGAGACTGACACACGGAGGTCCAGCGAGACGCACAATAAACCCACACAAGGAACACAAAGAAAATATGTGGGTGTCTTTTTCCCTATTATGTGCAAAGAAAGTGGGCTACTTCCTGTTTAATAGTTTGCCAATACCTCCCACCACAACCATCACAACTACACAGAGGAAAAAATGCTAAAGGACTAATTCACATAACCAGGTAAATAATAATAATGATAATATAAAAAAATTTAAACTAGATTTCCAAATGTGGTAATTTCCTGAAAAAAAAACAGCAGTTTGTAGATGTATTTTGGTAAGGTAAATAAATATAAAATACTCTTAATATGTGTCAACAAAATCTGTCTGCATAGCCATTGATTGTGTGAGTAAATCTGTAGACAAACGTACCCTCCTCCGAACCAATAAGATTGACAGTTTCTGCTTGGGGTCGTGACCCCTAGTGGTGGTCTTACAAAAGCCTGGCCTGTTTTAATGGAGAGGCCATGGAGAGGCCTGTTTGTCTTAGAAGAGCATGTCACACTCATTTTGATGCAGCGTCTATCAAATCCTGTCCTTCACTCTCTCTTCCTCTCTCGTTTCATGCCAAGTTATGTGCACACACACTCACACACACATGCACTCACCCTTCTGACATCTTTAGATAAGTCTTCAGACAGTTTTTTACTTTTCATGATTCTGATCACAAGAATCACTTTTTACTTTTAATTTACTTTTACTTTTTAATTTTATTTTTCACAAAATACACACTGTCAAATAAGAGAAAGAATATATCAGGGATCCGAATTCCTTTTGAGCAACAAATTGCCATGATCATTTTAGTAACAATTTGCAGTAAATTTTAATTATTATTATTATTATTATTAGTAGTAGTAGTAGTAGTAGTAGTAGTAGTAGTAGTAGTAGTAGTACAGTAGTAGTAGTAGTAGTGGTAGTAGTATTATATACATATAATTATTCTTATTTTTATCATTTATATATCGATTTTCACAATACTCAAGGCCACTTTACAACAAAGCACAAATACTCAAGGGTAAGCTTTACAACAAAGCAAATAAATAAATAATTACATACATGCATAAATATTGTTTAAAATATTTAAACAATAATTAAAAAATAATAATTTCATAAAGACTGTAGGAGTTTTTTTTTTGACAATTAAATATTTAAAAGCAGAACATAGTTATAAAAATATATATTTACTATATAAATTTCCATAATAAATTATAATTTAAATAAATCATAATAATTCTAATTTAAAATGTTTAGCTTAAAATGTAGGAGAATCCTGATATTTAGCTAATCTTATTTTAAAAAATCATTTAATAGAGACTGGGAGTTTTTTTAGACTATTAAATATTTAAATATACATTTACTATATACATTTCCATAATCATAATTAAAAATGTACAATTTATAATGTAAAAGAACTTTGATACAAAGTAAATCTTACATCAGCTGATTATTAGAAAAAAATTGCGATACTTAGTTATATTTGTGGTATCTGGTATCTGTGAGTGGCCTGTGGAAGAGATACAAGGAAAAAGAGGAAGACAGAGGGCCGGACAGCAGCAGGAAAAAGCTGTTGGCGCTGCATTTCCGCTTGGTGGCACCTTGCAGAGCAAATTTAAAGACAAAATGTGAAGGTTGCGACCTTGTGGCCCCTGAGGGCCCAAGCACCTCTCTCCGCTTTACGGCATGATATGATGAGTTGTCACTGGAGCTTGTGGGCTCTAATGAGCTGTAGTGTGGCTGGGGTGGGGGGGACACGCAGGGGGTGTGACATCCTCATGATGGATAGAGGGGCTCTCAGGCCTGCGAAATTCCAGAGCAAGCAGAAAAAGCTGCCAAGGACTTGAACTCGAGAAGTGTACGTGCCAGTGGCTCGCATCCAAGCACAGTGGACACAATGCAGAAAACATCCACGCTTGTTTATGTATGGGAATGTTCAAATGAGCAAGAAATAGATGCAGCCAAATCCACGCAGCCAATGAGTGTCGTTCAGAAAAGAAAGCTCGAAATGAGAACTTCAAAAGAATATGGAACTATGATGATGTCACCGTCACTATAACAACCCTCATCCGCCCACCGCTCACACAAACGGATACAAACAAAACGAATGCCTAACTTTGACACTCTATGAATATATAAATAGCAACTTCCCTCCTCTGTTCTCAATACAGAAAAACATAGTGCCAATTGTTTACTTCCTTAATATAAAAACAATTATGATAAAGAAAACTGTAAATCAAATTGGTTTTAAAAAAACAAACAAGAAAACATGTAATATTGCTTCTAATGAAATTGAAAACAACATAAAAGTGCAGGATTATTTAATGAATAATTATTGATGCATTTTAAGCATCAAGCAAATGAAAAAAAAATTGTTTTGTTAATTTAAAGCAATAAAGAAAAATTAAATAACAACCAAACTAATTTTCTTAAATGCAAATTTCAAATCTTAAACATCAAAGCCACAGGCTAAAAATAAGCACCAACAATACTTATGCTATATTCCTTCTGTTCATATATTATGACTTCCCTTCCAAACCCTCAACCCTGTCATCAGACATTTTTTTAATGCCATATCCATCTATCTATCTCTTAGTTCTTCCTTATGAAACACACACACACACACACACACTCACAGACATCTTAAGCCACTCTGCGGCAGATAAAATGACAGTGCATCCTTTACCGCAGTCCTAGCACTGAGTATGTCTAAGAAAAGAAGAAAGAAGATTTTAAAAAGGCCA